AGAACTTCATTTCAAGAATAGTTTCACAGAAGTACACTTAAAGTGAAGCTTGAAACTTATTGACTTTCTCTAGCTTATTGTCTTCCCTAAGTTCCCTTGTATTTATATCATACGAAGAAACCAGAATCTTGTGCTGAAAATATCCCTTGGCTATTTTAAATCTCTTGAAATCTTACTGTTATTTCCCAAAATGCTAACCCGTTCTTTATGGTTTAAGAACTTTAATCAACCTTGACACTTATTTTAACGAGACACCAATGTTTCAGAAAATAATATAATTTAATATGTCTATATTGCAGTGCAAAGCAACCTGTGGGACAGGGGAGATAACTCGCCACGTCTACTGTGGAGACGACGCAGGAAACCCTGTCTCAGACCAACGATGTGACCTGATTAAACGTCCTGCGACCCACAAGTCATGCCGAGCCAACAAACCTTGCGGTGGTGCCTGGTTTGTCGGACCTTGGTCAACGGTAGGTTGGTTTGTTATCAGTGGTCACCAACCGTAATGAAACTCTTCCTACAAGGAGATGTCCCCACTTTCCTCTTACTCGTCTGCAGTGTGATGCTGTGTGTGGACCTGGTCAGAAACAGCGCGAGGTGCTGTGCATCAAGGCGTTCCCCGGGGGCGTGTCTGCTGTGGTGACAGAGGAAAACTGTGACAACAGCACCAGGCCCGTCAGTACAGAGGCGTGCCAGGGACCCACATGTGTCCCACAATGGTATATGACAGCGTGGACTGAGGTAATTGTCATGGGGGGCAGGGGCACAGTGACACTAGCCACCAATACTGTCATTCTGATTCTCAAGGTCAGTTTCGTTTTTGAAAAAAAAATATATAAGAAAAAAAAACAATGGAAACTATACTACTACTACTATTTGAGAATGGTTAGAGGTTATTAAACACAGTACAGATGTAAACACTACGTATTGATGACTAGATGGTCTAGGGATTAGACAAAAAGTATAATCATTATAAACAACATAAGGCAGAAACATGACTGAACGCCTTGCCTTGGTTTTGAATTCAGTTTTCACCTGGTGATAACTTTTAAATATGTCCACATAATTGCTATCTTTTCTTATTGGTTACATGTTTGTTTAATTCATTAATATTTCTTGTTAGATGTACAGTAGATAATAGGTTGTGTGTGTGTGTGTCTGTTTCTTATATTCGTGAAAATTATAAACTCTCTCTCTCTCTTTTTGTGTGTGTGTGGGGGGGGGGGGGGGGTGGGTGGGTTTGTTGTATTTGTTAATGTTCCTTATTTAATGTATATACTTAAAACGAACATTTTTGCAATAAATTGGAAGTTACCAGACAATTTAAAAAAAGGAAGGCATTTGGATGGATATTTGGAGAAGCTTTTCATAATAATACTGAACCAAAATTGTTGTATTATATACTATATTATTATACAAAATAACATGTTTCCAATGGTGAGTGGCTTCCCTTTGTAAGCAGACAGAAATACGTCTATTTTTAAATTCATCAAGCTCAGATTAGCTCAGAAACAAATGTGCTCCGGCCACAGCCGTTGACAATACTTTTTATTGCTGTAACATACGACAGGACTACAGACATTTCTTCTTTCACATGGCAATAGGATCAAGTGTAAAAAAAAATAAGGAGGTGGGGGGGGGATCTCTTGTTAACTTACCACCTTCATAATTCTACCTAGGCTCATAATACCATGCTACCTAGGCTTACAATAGCATATTACCTAGGCTCATAATACCATGCTACCTAGGCTTACAATAGCATGTTACCTAGGCTCACAAATACCATGCTACCTATTCTTACAATAGCATATTACCTAGGCTTACAAATACCATGGTACTTAGACCTACAATACCACGTATATAAAAAAAAGACATACTTGAGGTGCACGGTAACAGAACTGTTACGATGCTTATGTTGAATGTAATCTCTTGCAGTGTTCTCAAAGCTGTGGGACAGGTCACAGAACTCGAGAGGTCAAGTGTTTGAGTGGCGATCACAAACCAAATGATAAGTGTCAGCTCGAAAGCCGGCCGAGAGTTCGTGACCACTGCAACTCCCAGGAATGTCTTAATTCTGTAGTGACCACTCCATTGAATTCCACTGAATCTCAAGGTAATCCCTTTCTTTTAATGCAGATCTAGAGTAATTTTTGCAGTGGGTACTTTATGGTCAATCAAGTAAAATCATGTTTACAAGAAGGGGAAATAAGTTAAATAGGTCACTCTATGACCTGCCACAATAGGATCCGAAATATATGAAATTTCTTTAATGCAACGGCAGAATCCATTGCGAAGCCCTGTAAGATGTTGTAAGAGTTGAATGATCTAGAAGTAGAAAAAAAAAAGGTTGATTAGACACACAAAATAAATGAACATGTTATATCCTAGACTCCCCACATAGTGATACAATCATTTACAAAATCAAGCAAAACATTAGGGTTTATTTCAATATTTTTTTAAAAATCAAACAAGAACACAAAAACTAAAATTATATTTAACTTTAGTTAGGCCAATAGTAGAATTTGTATCGTTTGTTTGGGGTGCGGAAACAGAGAATAACATAAATACACTTGAACAAATATAAAATAGAGCAGTGAGATTTATAACAAACGAATATCGAAATTTGATGAAACACCATTAGTAAAATCACCAAACTTAGAGACACTTCAGGAGAGAATAATAAAAGTAAACTAGCTATAATACAAAAACATTAAAACAAAACCTAATGAAATACTGAAGACACAAAGATATAGGCACATTTCTTTTTCCATACGCTTTTTTTTTTCTATAAACGCTTTTAAAAAACAATTACGGTCAAATGAACACAGATATCCCTTTCTTCCCCCTCCCTTCCAGAGAAGTGATGGGATCATAGCATACTGAGAAAGCTAAAAGCATGAAATAGCGAAAACAAAAAATATTTTGTAATCTAGATCTATTACAGATTTAATTACATGACTGAATCCAAACTAACTTTTACAATTACACATCGTATAAGCTCTATTTTATTTATTTTTTAAAAGTATTTTCTGTAGTTTTCTTGTTTTGACACTAGCTTCCGATCAAGGTGAAAGTCTGCATCTCTACTTCATATTTGAAGACGTTTTTAAAAACATTCGACTGATTGACATTGGATTTTAGATCTAGATTGCTAACTGTGCGTGTGTAAGACTCTCAGGACGACTTCAGTATCGGTGATCATAAACTATTAGGTCTCAAATTAGAATGTTTGCTGTTTGTCAAAATAAGTAAGAAAAAACAAAACATTTTGATTGTTTTAATTCACAGAGGCAAAATGTGAGGACCAATCCGATCATTGCGCTGTAGTCAAGAGAGCCCGGCTGTGTCGCTATGGTTACTACCAAACAATGTGTTGTAGATCTTGCGCTGATGAATTGTAAAACAGTTAAATGGCGAATGTTGTTGTTTTTTTCCCAAGATGTAATGGATGAAGATGTCAGTCACCAGTTGGCCGATGAGATTTTAATTAAATTGTTTGTGTGATGTTTCAATTTTCATTATCTTTATGATTTTTTTGTTTTATCATGGAGTAAATACTTTTGTATTGTTACAATGTTGACACTGTGAGGTAAGGAATGGCACATGTGAATGGTGTTATGGTCGTTGGTATATGTCATTTGTTTTTGAATTCCTTTACATTGTACATTTTAAAGTTTTTATTTTAATGTCTTTATCAGTACAAACTGCTGTTGTCAGTATGCATTGTATATGAATGTTTTGTTTGCTTATAAATCAATGATGAGTAGACAGGCATGGAAATATTGCGTTTAGAAAGATGTATGCAGAATGAATGCTTTGTTGACTTAACATAGGGTCTAGGTTTTAATCCCGGTAAATTTCTTCTGTTCATAAATTAAAAACCCAGTTTTTATGGGTACCTGGCATTACTTACGTAATGGAAACTACTAATGCTTGGCTGTACGATGTGCCAGGCACATGTTGCATTTGATGGCCATGCTCAGAAAACAATAGCAATTTAATTTAAAACAATGTCTTGCCTTTTAAGACGTTTTCAATAAATTAATTTCTTACGTGCATGTTAAGTTGGTATTTTGACTTGAAAAAAAAATTAAAAGTTCTACTGAAAGGTCAACATTGATTTGATTGATGTCAACTTTTAACTGCCAATTAAAAATATTTTTTTTTCTTAACTGAAACTTAGAGGAAAAACAATAGTAAGCAATAAACGAACAATGGCTGCTTTGATTGGTATTTTGGAAATACGTTGTGTCCCCCACGTTTGACAACCAATGTGGCAACATGTCCAACAACACATCTAATACCGAATAGAAAGTGATCAACAAGAAATGTATCTTTAGATTGCGTTTTATCTTTTTTTGTTTAACTTAGAAAATTCTATTTGCACCTTATAAGTTAAGTCATGGGTCGGTTTCCCAATAAAATAATTCAGACTATGACTTTTAATTCATCATGGATATTGCTTAAAAATGTTTTATTATAATATTGCCTAATACCTAAGCACACTATACACCAACATTTTATAGTGGATATTACATTGAAGTTAAAGAATAGTGTTTTGACTCTGAACAGATCTACACTATTTAAAGATCTATTACAATTTAAATCTCGGTGTGAGGTCTGGTCTTTACTTCGGCTTATTTTACTGTCTCCTAGAAGTCTCTGTTCTCATGTGAGCCCTGAAGTTTGTAAGAGCGATTACAAGTTGAACTCGTCACGTGGCAACCGTTGACTATAAAACGTTACATCTTCCTTTCTTAGACGAATAAAGGAACAGTTGAACTGGATGGAGAAATACAGATAGTCTTGTTAGAGAAACTGGGGCAAGGTTGGGAGAACCCCCCGCCCCCCCCCCCCCCCATTCAGTACAGTAAGAAGCATCATTATCACTTACGTAATAGGCTAATAGCACGCGTGAGGGCAATTCATTACGAGTGAATGACTCACACATGACTATCTATGTGAAATTAGTCACTCTGAACTTTGCCTCAGAGAAAAATGACTAGATTGTAAATAATTAAATCTTTATTAAATGGCATATTTTCCCAGTAAAGTTAAAAGTAAGCTGGACAAAGGATTAACGGGTGGTAGATAGGAATCTTTATTTTAAAACGACTCACAGCCAATGAATTATTAAGAGATCCTAAGATAGAGTAGATCTGTAATTCTTTTTTTCTTCTATAAGACATATGAAAACACTTCAAATGCATCTTATTTTTATCTAAGTTTTTAAGGCATGTTGGCGTGTTTTCTGTTTTTTATACCTTTTATTTAAATTCGACTATCTACTGCCCTAAACAATGGAATAATAATAATGTCTATTGTGTACTTTTGCTTAAAATGCTATTGTATCAATGTTACCAGGTCCACAAGCAATGCATTTGTTAAATTCGAAATGAATTACTTTTATTATAATTAACTTGTAGACTGTTAATGGCATCAAGGATATTGTTCTTAAGACGAGATTAGATTCGAGTTGATATATCTTGTGATATCTACCATCTGGGGAATAAAATGATTTTTTAAAAAACTTTTGATAGTGTAAATTAAGCATATATTGCTAGTAAGTTTACAAAAAAAAAAATAATAACCCACTACACTCTAATAAATGGAATCACTGCAAAGGTTTGTTCTGATTATTATCCGGATAGGGACAATACTAAGATCTTAAAGTAAATATATATTTATGGGTGTTTCCAGTGCACATTGTCCATAATTTCAAATGACCGTTAGCTGTCTAGACAGGGTCTAAAGTTATTGGAACTTTTACCAAATAGGCTTAAATTTTTCAATAGCTAATTTAAAATCGCATGTTGTAAATAATAATAATAATAATAATGTCAATATAAATATAAAAGAAGATCAAAGTAAAAACTAAATATCTTTTTTACACAGAGACAATCATTACATTTTTTATAACTTAGACAAAATTTTGTTTAATGCCATTGTAGGCACAAATAATATTTAAAATGATAGACTACTAATACTACTGAATGCCCTTCTGTTGTCTCAGACACTGTACGTTACTGGGTACATTTGTCTCTCTCTAAAACAATGTTAAAGAATTTCCGCCATCACTGTCATTTTTTGTCGGTAATTTTGACATAGCTTCAATCAACTCATTCTCTCTGTCTGTCTGGTAAAAAAAGTGTACACGTTGTTTCTTCCACACCCAATCTCGGATCAAATTCAAATTTCGCAAAATTATTTCTTGTATCTGACAAAAACAAGTATCAATAAAAAACTAACCAGTTAATTAATTAACTAATGGCAATTAAGAATTTGGTTTGTTATCGAACAAGGGAAAGAAAATGTAATTGACAGATGTGGTGATATAAGTTGAATTAGCTCCCTTTTTTTAATTAAAAAGTGATCACGATAACATTCATTCAGAGCCCCCCTTCTTTCTCCCCTCCCCTTCCTCCCCACTGGTCCAGACAAAGTGATAAGATCATAGCGTAGTGAAAAAGCTAAAAGCATGAAATTGCTCTAAACAAAAAAACAATTGCTAAAAACATTTCCAATCCCACAGATTTATTGTTGTTAGTCTAGATCTAATACACATTTAATTACATGACTAATTGACATAATTACACTTAATATAAGTTGTTTGTTTTTTTTAAGTATTTTTTAAAAATTTTTGACCGAGTAGCCTCCATTGAGAGGTATACCTAGGTTGATTATTGATGCATCAGCTTTCATTTGTTTTCATTAGTAGGACTTGTTTGTATGTATATTATCATTAGAAAATGTGTTAATGCTATATTTTGAACATTTTTGTTCCATCACGATGTTGCTTGAAATGTTGGTGCCAAATGAGAAGAATGTCTCCACCAAACACTGAAAGAATTGATTGCTCTTTGGAATCTGTCGTGGTGTTGTTTTTATTGTTTTCATGACATTCTTAGAAATAAATCCAATAACGAACAGCTCTCGTGTTTATTTAGATATAAAAGTATGTGTTTTATATGTAATTAATGTGTCTTATACAAAGTAATAAGGCTCGTCTTCCAGTCCGAAGATTAGTGAGGAATGCAATAGTTTCCGGTGGCTGCGCAGCCCCAGCTGTGACCTACATATTTTGCCACATCCAGGGCAAGCATAACCATTGTCCGCAGGTGGTCGATTTAGATTTTCTTTTCGCCGTCTGCGTTTGTCCTCGGCAGCGGATGTGTATCCCGCGGCCTTCGTGAGTGACCTCCAGCTGTCTCGTTCTGAGGCCGCATGCAACCAGGTGCTCTCTTCTATGTCAGCTAAGGAAAGTTGACGCCTACGCTAGTCTTTGTAGCGTTTCCGTAGAGCGCCTCTGTTACGTCGACCACATTTTAGCTCACCAAAAAAGACTGCCTTTGGCATACGTTCGTCTCCCATACGGGATACGTGCCCTGTCGAGCATAACTGTCGGACCATAAGAAGTCCCTCTATACTGCCCATACCGGCGTTCGCAAAAACATCGCTGTTTGTAGTGCGATCTTGCCACCGTATGTCCTTGATGGAGCGCAAGCATCTTTGGTGAAAGCGCTCAAGAAGACAGTTGTTTTCTGTATAGTGTCCATGTCTCAGAGCCATATAGAAGGGTTGAATGAACCACCGCATAATAGACATTGATTTTTGTAGACAGGAGGAGTGATTTGTTCCGCCAAACTCTCGCCTGGAGGCGTTAAATTGCGCTACTATCTCTGACCAGACGGTTATCATCTTCACTTGAAAGTGAGGCGTCATTTGATACTATACTACCTAGATATGTGGTAGACCACTTCACATATACAAAGTAAATACCCCTGATAAATGCTTTGTCTGCGTGAGGCATGACAAATATTTAGTTCAAAAGTGGGTCTGCGTAAGATCCTATTAAAGGTTTACAGCTAAGCTAAATTTACAAATGAATATGTCCTAGATGTTTGATTTTCGGCTCATTATATTTCTGCGGAAGACCTCAAACTGGACATCGGTAAAAACTCGTCCATTACATAAGACGTCTCCCTTGTTGGTTTTTTTTTTGTTTTTTTTTTTTTTACACGCAGAATACATCAACATGACGATGGTACAGCATTGAACCTGGAGATGAAAAAGATTGGTTGGTATAGTCGTAAGTTATCTGAACTCAGTGGCGTAGCTAGGGCGGGGGAGGGGGATAATTTGAAAATCCCACTGGGACCCACCTGAGGGGGGGGGGGGGCTCAAATTAGTGTTTTTTTTACATTAAATATTACGCAAAATGCAGGAGCCCCCAAAGACGCCAAGGCACCCAAAGAGGTCAAGCCCCTCCCCGGGACCCAAATGATGGCAAACTTCTAGCTACGCCCATGTCTGAAATGTTTTCTTCAACTAAACTTTTTAGCCGATTTTGTTGCAAACGCCTCTCACGTCGACAATTCGTTCTGATAAGTCCAATAGAGTGGATGAGACAATGAGTCAACCACTCTTAATTCGTTCTGATAAGTCCAATAGAACAGATGAGACAATGAGTCAACCACTCTTAATGATTTTAATGTCTTAAACATTGGTACAAGTGTCATTTTTATTGATTAATGATTACATAGAGATTCATTACTACAATGCTAATATAATCAATTGTCCTTTAAAAAAAAAATGAACGTCTTTAATCCCCCCCCCCCCCCCCGCGGGCTACACATTTTTCAATCTCGATACACAGTATTAAACTAGTGAAACAAAGGACTAGATGCACTACCTCGTTCTACAATCAAACAACATAGTTTTTTTTCAAGAGAAAAAAAAAAGTTGTACACTGCTCAATTTTGTTGGAGGCATTGGTGAAATCAGATTTTTTTTTTCTTGTAAGATTAACCCAAAAGACATCACACACAAATAGGGTTTATATCCTACTGAGACCTACCCGGCCTACTTGTATGTTGCCCATAGAATAATGTTTGGCCTACATAAGAACAGAAAATAATAATAGATCTAAATTAATCTAAAATAAAATCGAATCTAGGCGATGCTGCATCAAACACAAGTTGTTAAGCCTACAAAACCAACTTGAAAAAAAAATAATCCTGATACATTCACAATATTAGACCTACTCCTTGTTAACAGATATAGGCCTACATAATATTAGATTAGACCTACTTCTTATCACTTAATATATACTATATAGTAAACCTTCTCCTTAATTGTCACTTAATAGGTTAGACATGATATCAAACCTACTCCATGTTATTTCACAATGCTTCATATAACCTACTCTTGACACAAGAAGAGTGCAACAAAAAAAAATCCGGACCAAGGCTTCATCGAGTGACAGTGAAAATTTCGGTGAAATAAAGGCGAGGGTACACTAGACTGACTAGAGAGTTCCGGGTCACTGGGTTAAACTGTCCCGACTTTACGTTCAGTCAAACCAGACAATGTAGTTTAGTAGACTGTTCTGTTTTGGATTTACATCATTCGATTTCAGTTTAGTTTAAATTCTAAAATTCAATGGATAACTCATGAAATTAGTATGGATAACAATCTACTTTGACTACGTAAGTTTTTTTTCCTTTAAAAATAACTTTCTAAACTGATTTAAAAGGGAAAAAAAATATTGCCAAGAATGGCAAGAAGTAGATCTTGAGTCTATCGACTCTTACTTAATTTATTTACTGCTACGAAAAATTTAGATCTATATTACGTTTATTCCGGCCTATAAGGATTTATTTCTAGACTTCCTATCTCTTAGTAGAATCCAGATTGCCTAGATAATCGTTGAAAAAGTGATAGATTTAGACCCTGACTTACCTTGTGGTTTTCTGTTGATAAGCTCTTCTCCAGTTCAGCCTCACTAAGTCACTAATATTATATTAGTAGGTCTTTATTCTATATTAACCTATTATTATTTATAAAGTAAAGTCTCGAAACTCTAGATCTAGGGCGGGGCTACACTGAAACAAAAACAACTTTCAGCTTTGATTTTTGTGTGTGTGTGTGTGACTTAAACCAGTGTGTTAGACTCTTTAGTCTTTTTTTTTTATATATATATAGAAGGCTACTCATATTATCGAGATCTATTTAAAAAATAATATCAAATCGAATTTCCGTTTGCTCACTGATAGCGTGCACCTCTAGATACTGCTTCATTTTATTGATCAGTGGACCGAATGTTATTCAGCATATTTTAAGATTTTATAGCATATTATATTTTTTACAAAGACGGCCCCTATTCCCAAGCGGCTGGGAATAGGCAAAACCCTATTCCCAGTCAACTGTGTATAAGGTGTAATCCTATTTCCAGTAAACTAGGTTTAGGTCAAAGCTCCTATTCCCAGTTATAATTGTAAAGAATAGTAAAGTCTATTTCTTACAGAATTAAATGTTAGGCTATAATTTTCTAAATAAATGATATAGAGAAAGAAAATAGTCTTAATAGAAAATAGCTTTAAAATTATCTTCTTATCTTATATGATACATAGGTTACTTCAAAAAAGAAGATGATTACTATTAGTACAAATTTATTTTGAGGAATGAAATAAAATTGGTTTGTTATTGATAAATCTTTACAATTTATTAGCCGGTTAAGATTTTTTTTCCTTATTGGAATTAAAGTGAACAATATGTAATATATCTAAGGGTATTTTATATTGGTTATATAGAAGTTTTAAGTGATATTTTTTTTAATCATTGTGCTGAATATTTGTAATAGCTATAAAATATATTAATCCACTGTTGTTGTTGTTGTTTTTATAGTCTTTTAAAATGCATTTCAAGTTTTCCTTTGTTACCAATGCTGTCATTTCATCCACAATTAATTTTTTTTTTTACTTGGATTTGACTTCAAGCACTCAATTCATCTAATACATATGTTTATAGGCCTATATACTGCTTGTTGATATTTTTGACATGTGTTTATAATGTTCCCTCTCCCATCTTCATTCCAGTTTAGCACATAGAGGAGAACAATAATAATATAAAAATTGAACTGTCACAACTAGGCAGAAAAAATAATGAATGAAGGGGTTAAAGGGTTTGAAAGTTTGTTGATAGGTAATAATAGGTGTAGCTTTGAGGAGAAATCTAGTCATACATGTAAACACATAATAAAATGCTATGTATATTGTAAATATGGGTGTTCATTTCGTTATGTTGGTTCTATTTGAAATATTTAACATATATTATTTACATTTCTGTTTCTATATAATTTATATATATATACATATATATATATATATATATATACATATATATATATATACATATATATATATATATATACATATATATATATATATATACATATATATATATATATATACATATATATATATATATATACATATATATATATATATATATATATATATATATATATATATATATAATATACAAACTTGATCAACTAATAAGGTCACATCAACTTTTTTTTTTTTTACACTGCACTTTGAACCTTTGCCTTTCTTCTTGACTGTTACATACTTATAACAAAAATACAAGTAACTTTTTAGGATTGGCATGTACAGCACATAAAGTAGGCTGGCTACTAGACTTCAGTATAATTATAGATAAGTCCATTACCCTGTAATTTCTAGAGTTAATTTTTTAAAGTCCTTGTCATCATTGTATTACTGGAACTGTAGATTTCTATATTCATTGGATTATGTATCTTGACAACATTGACATATATTTGAGGTTTGTTAATATGTTTAACACTGCAACTTTTAAAAAACATTATTTTATAACAACAATTTCTGTTTATAAACTGGTTAAAAGTTACAATAAAAACAATCAAAAATATTAATTGTAGATTTTTAAAGTAATACTTCTAATAATTAAGCATTGTGGTGAAAAGACTCTGCTATAGATAATAATTTGATTCCAGGAGTAGGCTTATTAGGAGATCATAATTATCAATCTAAACATTTTGTAAACTAATTTTAGTTGGCTTTTATAATTTCTCTATAACTATATTAATTATCATCTTTTATAACATTGGC